GTACTGTATTTAAAATCTGTTTTAGATATTGTGTTACTGTTCGTTAAAAAAATGTTCATTCATGTTAAATGTTTTTTTATTTTCATATATTTAGTTTTTGATGTGAATGTATATTCGCAATCTGTATTTTTAAAAGGCCCTCTGCAGCGCACTTTGGTTTCCTCACTTCTTGCATATCTATCTTATTTTTATACTCATCAAACTCTCTGTACGTATTCTCTAGTTCTTTCTTAATTTATAAATTTTTCTCTCATTGCACACTGGTCCCAAAGTCCAAAATTTGTGCAAGAACCCAATTTTTTTTTTTAAGAGTTGGGCAAAAACAATATTTTATTGCGATAGAGTAATATTCAGGGCAATTGAAAATAATAGAGTTTCAATTGAAATTGCATTCAATTCAATTGAATTGATCGCTGGCAGTCCTGGAAATCAGCTGATCGTTTACCGCAAACTTTGGCATTGCTTTCTCGTGAAATTAATGCAAAGTTTGAAAACAAATTGTGTAAAATCTAATATCTCGATTGCAATAATTCAAAATGGATGATAATTGTGCAGGTATGTGAAATATTATGTAATATTTGTTATATGTGTAATTTCTTTATTAATATGTGTTTTTGTGATGTTATGTGTTTTAGCAATTCTAACCTAGCTTTTGTCGTGTTCCGTGGAATAAAGGTATATAGTATTTAATCGTATTTAAGAAACTATTGATACAGATGTTATCTTTAACATATATATTTTTTGATTACTCTAATTTTTTTTGCCCGTTTTTGCCCGATTCCATGAAATATTGTTTTTTGACAGACAACATCGATTTGAGCTATGCTGAAATGGTAGAGGTTTGGCTGGCAAATGGTCGTGAAAATAAAAGTATTTATGATTTTGTGCTGCAGCATATTATTAAAACATTAAAGGAACATATAAAGAACTCAATAGACAAGAAAATAGCAAACTTTGTTGCTGCATTAAAAACACGGTTAAACAATTGTAACCGGGATGTTTCAAGACTTAAGAAGAAGCTGGCTCGCATTACGTTTCAAAATCAAATTATTACCATCTGATATTATGGAAGAGGCCCTCAAAAATGCAGGACGCCCACGACTAAACTATGATGCAGGAAGTTGCCGATTAAAGCAAAGATTAGCTGCCGATCTTTCATCTAAAAATAATAACGACGTTAATCTTCTTGCTCATGCAGCAAACTTGGCTGCAAAAAAGGCGCGATTGACCGTTGAGGAAGTATCTTCCAAAGCAGAGCCTGTACCTTTTACTCCAGAAGAAGCCTTAGACTTTTTAATTGAAAACGGCTTTACAAAAAAACAGTATATGAGCATAAGGCTGCAAAGTAAATGCAGGAATTGCGACATTTATCCGAGCTACAAAAAAATTATCGCTGCAAAAGATAAGTGCAGGCCAAATGTCAATTTCTTAAATAATAATATTAATACAGATGATGCACATGATGATGGAGATGACTTGGACACAACTGAATTTACTAATGACTAATTAATTAATGAATTAATTTAATAAATATATGTGATAAAAAAAATAAATAAAGTTAGCCGAAAACTTTCCTCATTTTCTATTTTAGTTATTTTTTCATTTAAAATATTTATTTTCTGATAAGAAACTAAAATCTAAGCCATGTAAAACTGAAAGCAATATCAATTGACAAACGGACGTATGAGTAATTTTGTTATAAGCCATTATAACCATTTTTGCGCAGGCTTTTTATATCCAACAACCATTAACTGTACCAAGTTTCAAGCGTATATCTCCATTTTTCTAATTACTGCACAAATTTTGGACTTTGGGATCAGTGTGCATTGTACTGGTGTGGTTTTTTCCTTTATCTTTAGATTTAGGATCTTTTCCTGACCACCTCTCTTCTTTTTCGTCTTTAATTTTTGTTGTATTAGGCATGAACGTAGAGGGGGTGGCCGACTCCTCTGGAGGGTCCTGGAAGGTGCACAGGTCCTGTAGTTGAATGACGAGTCGTAGGTGTTTCGGTGTTTGGTAGGGGTGTGGGCGCAACCACTATTATTCACTATGTAAATCGAACTAACTATTCTTACTTATTCTAATGCTCTTGAGAGCGCAGTGGAGACTTCGTGGAGACTTCGTGGTGGGGAAAAGGGAAGCTGCGTGAAAGCGGAGAGCAGATGGGGAGAGCGGAAAGCCGGGAATACCGGGTGCTCCTTCGTGGCCTGAACATTCCGCCCCCCTTGCAATCGCTAGCGTTGCAAAAGAAGATGGCTTCTAAGGTTGGTGGCAGGCGCCGGTAATGATCCACCCAAAAACCGTCTTCTGGGCGACCGGCAGTCCTTCGTCGACCATCAGGAACCCCGACTGGATCACCTTGGGGTACACGTCCGCCCCAAGAATGACAGAAATTGTGGCGGGAAGATAGAACCGCTCATCCGCGAGCTGTATGCCCTTAAATTTGGTACGGACGGCGTCGTTGAGTGCCCGAGTCGGTGTGCGAATGCCCACCTTGGGCTCGACTTTGAACACCACCTCCATCTTGGTCATCCCGCAATTGGACTGTATCGTCGCGTTGCACACCTTGTCGTCACCAACACTGGTCGTTGGCAACCAAAATGCGGCGGCCCGAGAAGCGTCGATGCAGCTCACTGGTGTGCAAGGGTCGATTAAAGCTGCGGTCTCGAAAGTCTTGCTTCCGGTCTTCACCATCACCGAAGCAGTCGGAAGGACGTTGACGCTGTGACGTTGTAGCAGCGATGAAAGCGACGGAGCTGGTGTAGGGGAGGCTAAGCGCTGCCTTGACGTAGGCGTCGGGCGATTTGGCGGATTTGGCCGGCGCGAACGCTGCCCAGAATTAGACCGCTCATGCACATGCAGCAGCGTGTGGTGGTTCCGTTGGCACTTCTTGCATTTTCCACTGCGACAGTCAGCTTTCGAGTGGTCGTGGGCAAGACAGTTCGAGCAATACTTGTTTACCAAGACTGCACGAAGCCGCTTTTCAGCGCTCAGCTTCAGAAACCTGCTACACTTCCGTAGAGGATGGACTCACTTGCAGACTCGGCAACGGTAGGATTTAATACCTCGAGTACGTCTGCCGTCCAGGGGTTCTTCGGTGCGTGTTCGGGGAGCCATTTTTCTGATCTAGATCATGGATGAATGAAGGTGAATAAAGGGAAATCATATTAGGAATTGTGGACAACAACTTAGGACTAAAAAAATGTGGGCCAATTTATTGTGGAAGTTTTGAAGGCTCCACAGGCAGAAGTACGACTTTGGTTATTGGACGTTTGACAACCCCGCGTGCCGTGCGGATGTCTACTACACGGACATTGCCATCGGCTCCTGGGAAGACAGAGTCAATTCTGCCGAGCCGCCACTCGTTGGAAGGCAAATTCTCGTCCTTTATGACAACTATGTCGCCGACGTGAAGATTCTTCGCGGGGGCCTGCCACTTATTGCGCTTGTGAAAATCTTTAAGGTATTCTTCCTTCCATCGCATACGAAACTGCTGATGGAGAGCCTTTAGATGCTGCCAGCGGTTGATCATAGACCTGGTGTCCCCTTTGACTTCTGGTTCCACGGTAGACAGGAGAGGTCCTCCAACAAGAAAATGACCTGGTGTCAGGGCCAAGAGTTCAGTAGGGTCTTCGGACATAGGGGAGAGTGGCCTGGAATTTAAGCAAGCTTCAATTTTTGCCAGAAGCGTCGAAAGCTCTTCGAAAGTATATTTTCGAGTGGCTGTGGACTTATAGAACAGTATTTTAAAGCTTTTAACACCAGCTTCCCATAGGCCTCCCATGTGGATGGCTCCCGGAGGTATAAATTGGCAGGTGAGCTGCTGATGACCATAGGCATCTGTCACAGACTATTTTACAGCCTGAAGGAAGTCGCGAGAAAGCAAGGCGGCAGCGCCAACGAAGGTTTTTCCGTTGTCAGACTGGACTTGTCGAGGACACCCTCTCCGGGAAACGAAGCGAGCGAAAGCGGCGAGAAACTTCTCGGTCGTTAGATCAGAGGTAGGCTCTAAGTGGATGGCCTTGGTGGAAAAACAAACGAACACTAACACATATCCTTTTGTTATGAGACACGCTCTTCCGGTATAGTTTTTAATTTCGAATGGGCCGGCGAAGTCCATTCCCGTGTACGTAAATGGTCGGGAGAACGACGCACGGTTTTTCGGCAAAGTGCCCATCAACTGTGTTTGTAGCCTTTTCTTGTAGATCACGCATACCTTGCAGGAGTTTACTATTGCCTTTACTAAGTTCTTTAGTTTTGGTATCCAGTATCTTGACCGAATGAGGCGTACCATTAACTGGTTGCCGCCATGGAGGGTTATGCGATGAGTGAACTGGACAAGTAGGCGAGAAAGTGGGCAGCTTTATGGAAGAATAACTGGATGCCGTTCATCATATAGAAGGCTGTCGGAGGCCGTCACGCGACCGCACGCTTTTATCAGACCATGTTGATCTATGAACGGGTTCATGCTCAGGATAGAACTTGAAGAAGGCACAGAGCGCTTTTCACTTAAGCAGTGATAATCATGGGAGAAGTCTCTGCGCTGAGTATTCAGAATAATTAGTCGTTCCGCGGCGGAAATTTCCGCAGCTAGCAGAGGGTGTTGCTTGTTTTTTGCATCGCTGGATGAAACGATTGACATAAGCGAGAACCCGCAGTGCTTTGTCGAACTTGGAAAAACGGTCAAGGAAATCTTCAGACGGAATAGTTGCGACGTGGGACTTAAGGGGACGTTTCTCTAGCTCGGTCGCTGGGGAATTGTCGCTCTGACTTGGCCATTGGCTGCGTGGCCTTTGTAGACTGGGTAATCTTGGTCACCCTATTGGCAACAAAAGTAGTCCACTGGCAAGCTGGCTTGTTTAACCATGCGAGCACAATGGTGGAGTCTGTCCAGCAGAAGAGTTCGGATGTGAGTATTGGCATACTCGGAAGAACACTTGCTGCCATTTCAGCAAGTAACAAGGCCCCGCAAAGCTCTAATCTGGGAAGCGATACCGTTTTTACCGGCGCAACTCGCGTCTTGGAATGCGGATTCGATTTAAGGCAGAAAAGCTTTGTAGAAAGCTCTGCCATCTCAGACACAGATCACTTGGAAGTTCATCGTCCCACCCCAGGTCCTGCAGCCAAATCTCCTGCATGAAGATTTTCGCACGCACTACGAAGGGCGCGAGCCACCCTGCAGGGTCAAACAATTTGGCAATTTGTGACAGAACCTGGCGTTTTGTAAGGGACGATTCATCGGATAATTCGGGCGGAACAAAGAAATATTCATCAGATATGGCTTTCCAACGGACACCGAGCGTTTTTGCCATGCTTTCGGCATCGATCTCCAGAAAATCGGAGCGCAAGAGATGGTCACTCGGAATGTGAGGCAAAATATCCTTATGATTGGACGTCCATTTTCTCAATGGAAACCCAGCGGAGTTGAGCTCTTGAATCGAGAGCCGAGCGTCTTCTTTAGAGTCGGCGCCAGCTAGGATATCATCTACATACAAAAAATGACGAATGACATCACTCGCTTTAGGATGGCTGTGTTGTACGTCAGTTGCCAGTTGTTGAAGCACGCGAATGGCCAGGTACGGAGCGCAATTGACTCCAAAGGAGACCGTTTTTAACTCGAACTCTCGGATGTCCCTATCAGGATTACGGAACAATATCCGCTGGAAAGGCGTGTGCTTCGGATCTACCCAGATCTGCCGATACATCTTTTCAATATCGGCGCTAAACACGTATTGAAAATACCGCCACTTTAGGATTTGAATGGTAAGGTCGGATTGTAAGACTGGGCCAGCATGAAGGATATCATTTAAACTGGCCCCATTCGCAGAAGGACTGGATGCGTTGAACACTACGCGCAGCTTTGTAGTAATGCTCTCAGGCTTAAGTACGGCATGATGTGGAAGGTAGTAGCTGGCGAAATCGTGGGTAGGAAAGACCTCTCTCATATGGTTCAGATCCAGATATTCTTGAATCACTGAGTCGTATCGTATCTTTAGTGGAATGTCTCTTTTTAAGCGTTGCTCGTTTCTCAAAAATTGAGATAACGCAAAAGACTTGGAGTACCCTAACCCTGACCCTGGATGTTCCGGGTCGCGAAAAGGTAGGGTTACGACGTATCTGCCATTCGCATCTCTCGTGGTCGTTCGGAGAAAATTCTCTTCGCAGACGGAATCGGATTCATTTACCAACTTTATTGGTAGATCCTCCACCTCCCAGAATTTGGTGAGGATTTTATCTAAGCCATTGTCGTACGCTTGGGAAATTTGCGTAGAGAAGGTGGCAATCTGACTCTGGGTGGAAGCGGATACTGGCCTAGTGAGCACCCACCCGAAAATTGTTTCTTGTCCAAGGAGGGAGCCACAGATGTTTGTTTTTGCCCCATTTAGGAGAACCGAAGGCAGAATGTCGGAAGAAAGTCTTGCGGAATTGGGTAGGAAGGCAGATTCCCTGCCAGTTGAGGAAGGACAAAGGCTGACGTCTCTAACTGCAGAGCGGGCCTACTTGGAGTTCTGATTGTAAAATGACAGAGCTTCTTGTACTGAGCGGACACTGTCTGATTTAAGCTTGAGACTTTGGCTTAGACGACTTGGAAGGGTAATTTGAAAAGATTGAACAGACGCTCTGTCACAAATGTTGCTTCGGATCCTTAGTCGATAAGGGCACGAGCTTGAAAATTCGAACCCAGGTGGCAAATATTTATGATGGCAGTCCCCAGCAGAACCGATCTTGCACCTGACGCAAAATAGACTTGCACTCCCGACTGGTCATCGGAAGCGGCTGAGCCTTCTGTCGAAGTTGCTGGTCGTGACATGGGAACATCAGGTCGACTTGGAGGGCAGGCAAAAGGGTTGCTTCGGTGCAGCAGCGTATGGTGGCGACTGCGGCAGGTGAAGCAGCTGTGGGTGCTTGTGCAGTCCCAAAGCTGGTGCCCTCGGGCAAAGCAGCTCAAGCACAATTGCTTGCTTCGGATATAGGCGGCCCGCTCGTCTACTGTCATTTGGAGGAAACGTGGACAAGTGCGTATAGGGTGGCTTTCCCTTGAGCACAGATCGCAACGTCTTGGTTTCGGAACTATGCTTAAAGACCCGCTAGCGTTCGTTGCTTTGGACTGCGAATGACTTGACCCAGAAGGTCGCACGTCATCTATGGCCTCGAGGGTTCGATGGCGCTCAGTGAGAAAGGTGTTCAGGTCAACCCATTTTCGAATTGCGGCTTTATCGTGCAAGGACTGCTCCCATAAGGAAAGTTTAAGCTTGGGGAGCTTTGACGAACACATATAGACAAGAATGCAGTCCCAATCTGTAATCAGGATTCCGGACAGTTCCAAGGCGTTCAGACAGCCTTAAATCGTAGTTTGCAGTTCCTTTAGAGCTGCCCCAGATTTTTGCGAAATCGACTGGAGGTTTAAGAGGATTTTAAGCTGGCTATTTACTAGCAATCGCTTGTTGCCGAACCGCTCAGTTAGGTTATCCCAAGCTGAGCGAAAGCCATCGTTGGTGAGAGGGGAATTTGCGATTATGGCATGCGCGTCACCGCTCGTTTTAGCGTTTAAGTGGAACAGCTTTTCCACAGGCGTGAGCCTTGGATTATTTATATATATCGCTGTAAAAAGGTCCCGGAAAGTGGGCCAGCGTAGGTAATCGGCTGAGAAAACCTCTGTGTCGCACGGAGGCAGCCGACAGCCAGAGGAGATATAGTTCTGAGCAGGGGCTTGAGCTTGAGCTGGCGGAGCTGTGCCCTGTTGGATTATATCTGTGAGCTGAGCGGCGTATCTCTCATACACTGTATAACAGTAGTTATACTTTGACTTGAGAATGGGCAATGTGGACGCTGCATCCTCGCCTGCTGCCGTAATGCACTCTGAGCATACGTCGAACTCTTTCTCCACCTTGTCCCATAACACTCGGACTTGCTCCCGACGGATTTGGAGCATGGAAACGCTTGGAGTTTCGTTCCCAGGAGTGTTGGTTCTGCTTTCGAGATCGCTTAGACGATCTGACACCGCAATGAACTTATTTAAAGCCAACTCGTAAGCAGTTGAAGCCATTTTTTGTATGGATCGAGTCACCCTTGAACTGGAAGTAGCAGGTTTGGCGTTTGGACTTAATGAACTTGGAGTTTTTGGCGTAGCCGGCTTCACCACGATGCTTGGTGGGCTCTTGGAGCTTTTGGTTGCCAGCGGCGAGAGCGTGGACTTGGTTTTGCTCAAGGGAGAAGCAGATACCTTTTTCTTATCGTCTCCACCGGGCATACTAAGACCAAAAAACCCTCGCGAATAGCTGTGGATCTCTCCACACTATGTTTGTGTCAGTTTGGATGAAAATATGCGGAATTGTAGGTGTGTGGAACGATTGGAATGGATCACGCTACTTGAAAATGGTATATTTGAGTTTTTAATGGACTCGGGCTTGATTAACTAGACGAGAAAAAACAAATATGCGGATTTGTACGTTTGTGGAACGATTGGAATAGGACACGCTACTTGAAAATGGTATTTTTAGTTGCGTCAATTTGGATGTAAAAAAATTGTAGGTGCTTGGAACGAGTTGAAAAAATAGTACTGCGGAGTTTTTTATGGATTAAGGCTTTTTCGGAATGTTGGAATTGGAATTGGAAATTTTCAATTAACCAGACGAGAAAAAACAAATACGCGGAATTGTAAATGTGTGGAACGATTGAAATGGGACATGCTACTTGAAAAAATTGTATTTTTTATTTTTTTATGGACTCTGACTTTTCCGGAATGTTGGAATTGGAATTGGAATTTTTCAATTACCCAGACGAGAAAAAAAACAAATATTGATTTTTGTGCATAAGCCTCCTGTTTCTTTCTGCACCTCCGCCCATGAAAAATAGTATCTCGGAGTTTTTTATGGACTCGGGCTTTTCCGGAATGTTGGAATTTGAATTGGAATTTTTCAATTACCCAGACGAGAAAAAAACAAATATTGATTTTGTGCATAAGCCACCTGTTTCTTTCTGCACCTCCGCCCAAGAATAGCTGATATCAAATGTTCATATATGTATTTTGGTCAAATAACCATATGTTAGAGGCTGCACTGTATATGTGTATTTTCGCTCAGAGTAAAATATGTAAGTATGAAGCCTCTGTAAATATGCACACTCGCTCAGAGAAAAATATGTAAGTATGAAGCTTCTGTAAGTATGTGTGCTCGCTCAGAGAAAAAATATGTAAGTACAAAGCCTCTGCAAATATGTATTTTCGCTCAGAGAATAAAATGTAAGTAGATCAGAGAGTAATATGTAAGTAAAAAATGCGATTGGACAATTTTGTATTTTATTTGCAGCGCCGACGGGAAAAAATGTAAATGTATGGTTGCATGTAATTTTGAAAAAATAGTTACTATTTCTTGCCAGCGGGTATGTGTATTGTTTGTAATTGTGATTTTTATTTTGTTTTGGAGATAAGTGGACTGTAGAATGTATGTAAATGTTAATGTAAAATGTAACTTTTCGCTCAGAGAAGATATGTAAGTATGAAGCCTCTGTAAATATGTACACTCGCTCAGAGAAAAATATGTATGCGGGGTCCAAAGGAAAAATATCCGGCTCGAAGGAACAAAAATGAACGTAGAGGGGGGTGGCCGAGTCCTCTGGAGGGTCCTGGAAGGTGCACAGGTCCTGTAGTTGAATGACGAGTCGTAGGTGTTTCGGTGTTTGGTAGGGGTGTGGGCGCAACCACTTTTATTCACTAAGTAAATCGAACTAACTATTCTAACTTATTCTAATGCTCTTGAGAGCGCAGTGGAGACTTCATGGAGACTTCGTGGTGGGGAAAAGGGAAGCTGCGTGAGAGCGGAGAGCAGATGGGGAGAGCGGAAAGCCGGGAATACCGGGTGCTCCTTCGTGGCCTGAACAAGGCATTTATTGTTAATTTTATTTTTTTTTTTTTTAATTTTCTGGTTTTAAATGTTTATTTAATTTTACATGTATCCCTACCTAGGTAAAAAAACTAAGACCAGCAGTTAGAAACTGCCTGGTTTGTATAACTTTTATAAATTATAAATTGCATCGCAGATGCATAGAGATATATAAAAAAAACTATAGCTGTGTGCTCTTGGAGGCGCTGTCGGTTCACGTTTCCGTAGTCAGGCTTGGCCCGCCGAACTGTGGCTGCAAAGGCTATTACTACTCCAGTGACTTCACTGTTGGGGCACCGGTGCTGGCACAGGCGTGTTCACAAAATTATGATTTCAGGGGTCCGCTGTAGTCGTTGGCTCATCTCCTCTTCAGTTGGGGAAGCTTCTTTTTTTTTTTGGGTGGTGGTTTGTTAGTTGTTTTTTTCCAATGTGGTCTTAATTTCCTTTGAGTGAGAATTTTTTTTTTATTTCTATCAAAATCGAGTTAACCTTGTAGCTTTTGAGCCGTCAATCATGCGGGTGGCGCAATTTCGGATGCGCTACTCTTTAATTTAACTTTTGGTTTTTTTGCACTCCACCGTGTTTCTTTCCCATCACATCACTCAAGTCACTCAGATCTTATTTTTGTTGTTATTACTGTCGTTCTTCGTAGATATATATATATAAAGCATCCAGGCTTAATATCACGGTCGGCATATAAAAACGTTTTTGGTCCATCCCAAACGATGATTAGACAATCTGCAGTTGAACGCTCCCAACAAGATTCTTTTATTGAATGTTATTTTATTCTATTACATTGGCGCATAAAGTTACGATCGCTCACGTTTATGTATAAATGGGTATATATGTGTAAGGCTGACGGTGGCTCGCCGCGGGAGAGTGGGTACTATGTTCACTTGGAGACAGAGCGGTCTCGCATGACAATTATGCTGACTGTGCAATGTGCAGTCCCAGTGCACTCAAGAGCGGTCATATTACCGATCGCTTTGGGAACTTCTTGGGTCATATGTATGTAAGTATTGCGGCCAAGTGCTACAATGTGTTTGTACTTTTATCAATGTATAACACTGAGTGCAGTGTGAATTCGATATGTGAACATACTACACTGTAATTATACTCCAATACGTAAAGGCACCCGTATAACAACATTGTTGCACATTTCAAATCTATATATAACATCTTAAGAAATCTGACCGGCATATACATTCAAACGGATTTACTCAAGCTCTGCGAGCAGAAGACTCAGTTTTGTTGTGCTAGCATATATTCCTTTAGCAACAGCACGGCCGCTACTCATATGCAGACGGCCGACCTTATACATAACAACCAAATCACTTATATATTGTTGAACGTTGATGTAATATAAACGGTACAATCAAATGGTCCAACGAATCCAAGTTAGAGCTTATTACGCGTGGGCCCTTTTAGCTTAGTGTGCAATTATCGGGTTCGCGAGAAAACCCCAAATAACATAATATAGACCCATTTATAAAAAAAAACT